GATGATCGCGGAAAAGCGATTGCATTAAGCTTCTTCACTCATAGTTACACCTTTCGTCTTTCAAAGAGCTTTGACTCGGTTACACATGTGCTATCTGCGACGAAAGGTCGAGTTAAATTTTAACGTCGCAGCATTACTTCGGAAATGTGATAGAGCCGATTTGCGCTTGGGAGTAGGATTTGCTTTCCTTCGTAAAATTTTGCAATATGATCATTTTTTAGGACACAGAAATGTAAAAATGAGGAATTAACTGTAACTTGTGAATTTTCTGGTACAGAATGGAATAGAGTCATTATAGGAATGTAATGTAATTTCACGTCTCTACGAAAAATGATATTCACGTCCACATTGCCGTGGTATTTAAAGTCTACGAACAAAGCCTTTGAAAGTTTATCAATCCTACGTAGAGTATGGTTCTACCTGGCCTCCCAAGCTGACAGTTCCTTTTAATTGTTAAACAAGTGCTGCCATTTCTTTCGAATTATTTGGCTCGTTTAGCCCCCTCCTTAAGACATATTCCCTTTTCCCATACCAAATTAAAATGTAGAAAAGACAGTTAAGTAAAAATGCCGGTACATGTTGGATCTGAGAAACATTTCACAAATGGGAGATAGGGGTAGGAAGGTAAGTGTCCTACCCCAGTGTAACCCACCCTTACAAGTTTAGGATACATATCTTATTTTGATTGTACCGTCTGAGGTTGAATAAGAATTAAAGTCTCATCCACATTTTTCGATTTCTTGTTTACTTAAAAATTATGTTTATTTTTATGGCAACATTTATACTTCTCCGTTACATTCATAAAACTGTTCATGTTTACAATCCTGGATCCAACAATGATTTGATTTTCCTTTTCATCTTCCAGTGGGTTGTTTAGGAAAGTTCTTGGTCATTTCGTTTTATTAGGAATCAAGCTCAATGAGAAACAAATCGTAACACTCAGAGGCATCCACTTAATTTTTCGCGGAACAAAGTAAGACCTACTGAGCACACTCGTCGCGACTTTGCTGGTGCGGTGTCGGCTTCACCATCCTCCTTTAGGTCTTTAGATAAACTTTTTTTGACCAGTTTCGGCAGGAATCCAAGCATTTTCCGACTTGCTTTCAAGAAGTGAACTTTCCATTTTTGTTTCTCGAACAACCACTTCCACTGGAAATAGTAGAGGTACCCGGCAATTTTGAAACGCTCATGGCAGCCATGTTTAATTACAACTCCAAGAAGCTGAAATTTTTAAAGGAAAATGTAGTGATTTTAGATTTTTATCAACGACTAATATTGGCGCCTTCGCCTGTTTCCATGGCAACCGATGATTGAGAAGAGCCCTAAATTTCCACTTTTTTCAGTCTCACAGAAAACCTGGTCATTAGATTTTTCCATTAGTTTGCGCGAAGCTTTTATTGAATGATTTTTATTGTTTTATATTAAATTTAAGATATTTTTACAAACAGTTTTCTTAAGAAATTAAGAATAAAACTGCCCTGTAAATTTTGATTTTCTCAGAATTCCTTTGCTAGATTTTAGTTTCAGAATTTTCATTATTTGAAGTGCTTTGAAAATAGTATTTCTGCCAAATTCTATCAAATTCTAATGAATAGCTTCCGAAAAAATATCCTTTGTGTAGATCGTCTTGGATGGTCAAAAAACTGAGCAGTCTCACACGCTTTGATTAGTGCGCATGCGTAGCACAAGATTTTTTGATTTTTTTCTTTTCGAACAATCGATTAGTACTTTTGCGTTCATTGCCGAATGGGACTTTTTGCTGAAATACGACATGCTTCACAGGCAAAAATATGCCTAATAGTAAATAAACGTCGCATTGAACTCCTTTGAAATGACTTAAAAGTAAGTGTAACTCCAAAGGGTCTACAGTTCCACGAACACATCATTAATTTCGGCAAGTTTTCTTAAGCAAAAGTGTGCTTACATAATCAACATGACGGTTTGATCGAGTCTCAATCACAGAATAACGATGGAAACTTCCTTACTTGCAACTGATTTTTTGCTCAACAAAAGCGATATTGAGTTGTGAGTGATTCGCCAGTCTTATCTTAGTTGCGTAAAAGAACGGGCCAGATGGGCCAAATGTGGAAAATTGTCACCAATATTTTTCTAAAAATTTCCTCCACTTTCACTTTCGATTCAATTAATTCTACCTTTGATCACGTGGGTTCCCAGTCCCCACCACTCAATAAAACAAATAAAAAAATTACCCCATGACTTCCATCGTCCGTAAAAAGATGGCGTCTCACGAGCAACCAAACTCACTACGAAACGGTAAATACTCCATCAGTTTTGACAATTCCAAATTTGAAACCCTGATAATCGGTGATAACAACACTGTGAATGACCACCGTTCTGGACGATCAACAGCTTCATCTCAAGAATCCTCAACGATCCACGATAATGGCGAGTCGCTCGTTACGAAGGGAGAGCGAGTCAACATGAATTTGAAAAATGATTCAAGAGACACTGATAAAGCTTCCTTGCACTGCATTGGCCCAGAGTCTATCCCTGTCGTTTCAGTGAAACGAGACCGTGAATTTGAAGAATCGGTGAACGGATTTCCCGTAATTTGGAAAAAACTGCACATAGTGCGAATGGTGTTTTTGATGATTTGCATGCGAGCAAGACAATGGCAGTTTTGAAGACTTCACCATGTATTGTTGCGGATAGTTCACTAATTGCAAGCAAAGGCAAAATAGAGCTGTACTTTTTCAATCTGGTCGAAAAGAAAGACTGACGTAGTTTGCCACGAGAAGAGAAATAATGTTCCTGTTACTTAATTAACAGTTATCACGATGTATTCAAGTTTTGCAACCTGTGCTATCGGCTAAATACAATATTTATGTGTTCGTTTTTGTTAATTCTCGCCTAAACAACCCTACCAAGTTGGGAAAATCTGATTATTAGAGGCATATTCAATTCGCTGGGACCTCAAAATCATCACTGTACACATAGTATTCTTAGAACTGGGTAAGCTCATGAGCCACTTAGAGCTTTTATATATAGATGAAGCCTCTAAACTTTCAGATCAATGAGATATAGCGAATATATAAAATATGGAGGATATGCACCTTATTAGGCGTTTTGTTGTGTAGTATCGCCGAGTATTTTTACTCATTGTTCTGTATTTTGACGAGCCCGTAGGGCGAGTCAAAATACAAACAACGAGTAAAAATAGTCAGTTATACTACACAACAAAACGTCTAATAAGAGATTTATTATCCGACACGCCAAATTGTTATTTCAGTGCGGGCGAATTTCGTGGGTATTTCTGGAGTACAAATATCGCGTGATATTTGTACTCGTCTCGCGCGTTATTTGAACTCTACGAAGCACAGTTGGATAATGAATACATGTATTGACGCCACTGATTTTACCTCCTCAGGAATGTGTCAAGAAAGCAAAATTCAGATATGGCTTCGATAAACTTCCTTTGAATGGAGAAATGACCCCGGAAGTTTCAAATCAGCTTAACAGCTGTTAATTGCACTTTATGGCTACAATGACAAAGAGAAAACCTTTAAGTGAACTCATTCCTCTTAGGTTGCCTCATTAACAGAATGCTCTGAGATATTTTTCAAAAGGCAGAGCATCATCTTCAAAATCAGGATAATGTGTGACATCTACGTTTGACTGTCACGTACTTGTTAAGACGAGTGACAGGAAGTAGAAAAACCAGGGAAAGGTTTTTGACTGAAAACACTATCTTATTGAGGAGAGTTCATGAAAGAATTTACCTCACAGCATTCCCTCAATTTGATGTAATCTGAGGATTTTGTAGGGATCACTTCATATGTTTAAATCCAAAATTTCCGTGACAATGGGAAAATTATAAAGAATGATTGGTTTTAATTGTATACTGAAGGATTCACAATCAACACTTCTTAGTCTATATCAGACGCTATGTTTTAGCATATTGGCCAATTTTATGAGCATTATGCAGCCCACAGGTCAAAGGTTCTAAACAATGAAAACCACCAACGACATTGGCGTAAAAGTTTTCTCCGTTTACACGTTCTATTATTCAAGCTGCAGCAGATTTTTTTGGCATAACTTTTGTCTCATCCTTGCCTCTGGTCGTCAGACCAGTCTCTTGTTATTTGTGCTGCATTATGCAACCTCCAAAAACCACTTGTAAGATAAAGCTAGCACATACAAAAGGAACATAAAATGAAGTCTGTGCAACATAATTTTCTTCCTTTTTTTTTACAAAAATTTAGAAGTTACTTAATTAGTTTTGCTCTGTTGTTAACATGTTTTATAATTTTAACTTAGTGAACAAAAATGATGATAATGGAAAAAATGTCAACTATTTTTAGCACCAGACTGCTTATCTTTTAAAATTTTACCAGTCAAAAGCTCTGGAACAATGAATTTCTTGAAAAATGAAAATAGTTTGTCATGTGTCTTTTCCCAAAACACACTATCAAATTGGATTGGTACAACTAAGATACCCTTGTTAGTGTAAATAACTAGATCACACTGATGTATCCCTGAAATAGCCATCTGCCCTTGAATTTCATGGTATAAACATAAACAATATCCACTGTCTCATGCAATTCAACATTGTTATCATTTGAGATGTGTTTTCGAACTTCTTTTTCTGGTATATCTGGATATTCTGGATTACCCAAAAACTGTAAAGCAACTGGCTGAGGGTATAATACGTGAAAACCAGCCCTCAATTTGTCTCTTATTTCAGATGCATCAAACGCGTTAAAGGGCCAGGCTCAAAATTACATGGCTGAGAAAAACTTTTCTGGTCTTTACCAAATTCAGCTTTAATAATTGCTAAATCCCTCAATCTGAGAACATACTCATTTTTGTGAGACCTTTTTTTCCACTCACATTTGCCTGATGTACATGTAACTGCATTGTTATTTGCAACAGTACCATTTATGTCGAAAAGTAATGCTCCTACATGCCTACAATAGCCATCCAGTCCACCTTTACATGGGCAGAAAGCTGAGTGCACCTCTCCATTGTTTTTCATAATGTTGCCTGAATAAAAGTGATTTCCTTCTTCAGTTTTTGGTCGTTCCGTTGGTTTTACACTAAATTTAAAGAAACAAAACTCATGATTCACTACGGGGCAGTACTTTAGATCAACGACGTGTCCATCTTCATTTAACTTGAAACCACGCAAGCTTTAAATTTTAAACGATCGAAGAATTTCTTCGGTATAATCTTCATTTCCAACAAGATAAGTGTATAAATTTGCAAATGTAAAGTTAGGAATCGAAGAGAAATTGTGAGTCCATCCTGTAAAGCTTCCAGGGTCAGGTAAACGACCACTGACAGCGTTCCATTTAGATTCGATTGCTTTCTTCGTGTCCTCTACGTTTTCGACTAGCTTAGGTTGCTTCATATCTCGCGATTGCAGCATAAATCAACGAGCTCTGCCTTCCTTTATGCTTTCCGTTGTCGCTAAGCTGGATACCTCTATCTTGTGTAAATATTTCTTTAATTCAGGGACTTTCAATTTCGAGAAATCGTTATTTTCATCAATATTTACATCCACAACTCCATCGACAGCAGCCATCTTAGAATCAATGCACGGCGCCTCGTTCTGATGCAAAATTTAGGAACTAGTCCACTTGCATCAAAAAATTTGCAAGTCGGCTATTGGTTACTAGTCACCTTCGAACGTCAATCACCTCGATCCTCACTTCGACCACAAATACTCAGTCGATCGAAAATCGTTCTGTTTTCATTTGGGAGTGTTGAGTTATACTTTCTTTTCTTTCTATTAGTCTCGTATGTGAAGTGAAATACAATTGGATCTGTAGGTATCGTTTTACAGTCTACATATTGCGACCATGGGAAATGTTTTTAGTTCTCTGCGGCGCTTTGTTCGTTCAAGATGGGAAAACGTAACTGGTGTGGTACATGTTCAGCATCACCAGACTGAGAGCATCAACTCTGTAAACAACGAAAACGCAATACAGGCTGAAAATTACTCAGTCAACGACAAAAACTTCGAACAAGTTGAGAGAAATGAGAGAGGAAGTCGAGGTGAGCCCTTGCACGAGACGACGAACGCTCCGATAGCATGCCAGAGCGCTAACATAAACATTTGCAGTGCACGATTCGTAACCATCGGTAACAACAGTACGATCAACACGACGAGAACAGGACGAAAAGGGGAGGCTATTACAGTGGTTTATGCCATTACAGAGCTAGGAGAGCAAACATCGTGCCAAGTTAGCCCAACTGCAAACAATATCAATATCCTGGCGGATATGGTTGTTCTCGGAGATGGAAACCAAATTTACCTATCGAACATCAATCGAATGCTCCTCGTCGACCTGCAAAGAAACGTTAGTCAAGTGTTGCTATTTCCCCGAGCATATGAAGTCCTTGAGTTACCGTCGCTCGGAGTTGACTCTCGGAGTCAAAGATTGTTCCACATCATGGTTGAAATAATAAATATGCTGTATCCTTTACGCGACAGAGGAAAATGGCAGGAATTTAATTTTGCTTTGAATTGGTTACGTTTAAAATACGAACACTATCCTGAGATTCAATGTTTTCTCTTGATAGAAGAAAGTGTCCAGCTGACGTACCAAAAACAACTAAAGCGGGCGAAAAAATTGGCAGGAAGCGCATTAAACATTATTTGGAGTGAATTCAGTGGAGCGTCACGAGAAGTTCTGAGAGTGCTTGCTTATGCTGCTTACGCAAGCATCTTTCGACGCCAGCCTCGTAAGAAACTGGGCAAGGCGTTTAAATGCCTGGAGAAAGCAAAGGAAAGTGCTGTGATGATGGAAGGTGTAAATTTGATTATACCTAGGTTTGCTCTCGCTATTTTCAGTTATGAACAAGGGCGCTACAATATGGAATTTTCAAAACTGAAATCTAAGTCTATTCGGACAGAGGCACAAAAGTTTCTTAGCCTTTCCATCGACCGCTTCAGAGACCTGTCGAGTGAAAATTTGTACTCGGCGAGACAGTGCTTCGCGCTAATCTATCTTGCAAGATTAGCCCTACCTTCAAGTATGCCAACATCTCACGAAGGTAATCGCCAAATCATTCCCAAGAGGGATTCTGCACGAGCTCGAAGGCTTCTTTGCGAATTTGACAGAAGTACCCAGGTTCTCGATAAAATTCCTACGGCGGCAGAAATAAAAAACGCACTAACAAAATCGGAACTTTGCTTTCTTAAGAGGGACTACCCAGGGGCTAAGAAGTATGGTTTCCAAGCCTTGGATATCGCAAAGGCATCTGGATTTGAGTTAGAAACGGAGCCTGCTCAAGAAAATATGAACCATATTTGTCACTACTCAGGCTACTGTGCTACTCAAACAACATCAGAAAAGCGACAAGATAAAACAACTTCAAGTGACAGCTACACGTGTAGTTCGTCCACAGATTCTGATCAAAGAGCATCGTAATTCGTGAGTACTCTTTAAGTTCAAATCCATGATCATTCTCTCCTCAGGCCAAATGGCCGGTGATTTGTTTGAATGATTGAGTTATAGTCAACAAAAGCTTGTGAAAACTTTTTGTAACACTTATGATATTGACTAAGGTGAGGTGTTCACCAATTGAAAGCAATTTTTCTAATTTTGTAATCTTGTATTGTGGAACTGTAAGAAAACTTTATTTGTTGCGATAGGCTCTGTGCAGCCTTCTGTTTAATGTACTTCAGGATATATAGCAAAGTTTGTTTCTTTTCAAATTGAAAAAAAGTTTTTATCATCTCTACTCTATAATTTTCTGTTTCCTTTTCTTATAAATATTTTCAATTACCTATATAAAAGCATACCTCAATATCCCAAGTATATGACCTGCTTGAGATGTTCTTCTGAGGTGGTTAAGATCTACATAAAAGCAGTGTCATACTCTGAACTTTCATGCAACGTGTCAGCAAATTTTGGGAAGCGGTTAGAGCAGGCGTAGAACTGATCAACTCTGTAAGAAAGAATATAAATAAACGTGACCCAACATACTTGTCTCGAAATCATTTTTATCTGCGAAGGTTTTCAAGAATCGTGCTATAATCATCTTGAATTGATATCACTTCCTTCATTGCTGAGTTATTGTTACTCTCGGTTTTAACTTGTCGATTCAGAGTGTACAATTACCTGCACGCAGTTAAGTTTTGATCAAGTACGGCTACTCTCTGTACACCTCTTGGGGCAAGTAGCAAAGTATGAAATCCTACAGGCCACATACAATGCCGCTTGAAAATTGCGCCAAAATCTTCGAATGAATCCAGGTCGAAGTTTTCACTTTCGCTTATTGCAGGCGCAAAAGTTCCACCGAACCAATCAAAATCCGTTCAAACAAAAACCTAGTGACGTCACTTCCTGAGATCTTCCCGCGTTTCGGTGAAAATAATGATGGCGAGTTATCAACGAACCTCTCAAGAAAACGCTATAAGAAACATCAATATTTCCAATTGCCATATTGAAACCTTGGAGATGGAAACATTGTGAATAAATGCTGTCGGCGACTTAAGTATCCTAANGTACCAAAAACAACTAAAGCGGGCGAAAAAATTGGCAGGAAGCGCATTAAACATTATTTGGAGTGAATTCAGTGGAGCGTCACGAGAAGTTCTGAGAGTGCTTGCTTATGCTGCTTACGCAAGCATCTTTCGACGCCAGCCTCGTAAGAAACTGGGCAAGGCGTTTAAATGCCTGGAGAAAGCAAAGGAAAGTGCTGTGATGATGGAAGGTGTAAATTTGATTATACCTAGGTTTGCTCTCGCTATTTTCAGTTATGAACAAGGGCGCTACAATATGGAATTTTCAAAACTGAAATCTAAGTCTATTCGGACAGAGGCACAAAAGTTTCTTAGCCTTTCCATCGACCGCTTCAGAGACCTGTCGAGTGAAAATTTGTACTCGGCGAGACAGTGCTTCGCGCTAATCTATCTTGCAAGATTAGCCCTACCTTCAAGTATGCCAACATCTCACGAAGGTAATCGCCAAATCATTCCCAAGAGGGATTCTGCACGAGCTCGAAGGCTTCTTTGCGAATTTGACAGAAGTACCCAGGTTCTCGATAAAATTCCTACGGCGGCAGAAATAAAAAACGCACTAACAAAATCGGAACTTTGCTTTCTTAAGAGGGACTACCCAGGGGCTAAGAAGTATGGTTTCCAAGCCTTGGATATCGCAAAGGCATCTGGATTTGAGTTAGAAACGGAGCCTGCTCAAGAAAATATGAACCATATTTGTCACTACTCAGGCTACTGTGCTACTCAAACAACATCAGAAAAGCGACAAGATAAAACAACTTCAAGTGACAGCTACACGTGTAGTTCGTCCACAGATTCTGATCAAAGAGCATCGTAATTCGTGAGTACTCTTTAAGTTCAAATCCATGATCATTCTCTCCTCAGGCCAAATGGCCGGTGATTTGTTTGAATGATTGAGTTATAGTCAACAAAAGCTTGTGAAAACTTTTTGTAACACTTATGATATTGACTAAGGTGAGGTGTTCACCAATTGAAAGCAATTTTTCTAATTTTGTAATCTTGTATTGTGGAACTGTAAGAAAACTTTATTTGTTGCGATAGGCTCTGTGCAGCCTTCTGTTTAATGTACTTCAGGATATATAGCAAAGTTTGTTTCTTTTCAAATTGAAAAAAAGTTTTTATCATCTCTACTCTATAATTTTCTGTTTCCTTTTCTTATAAATATTTTCAATTACCTATATAAAAGCATACCTCAATATCCCAAGTATATGACCTGCTTGAGATGTTCTTCTGAGGTGGTTAAGATCTACATAAAAGCAGTGTCATACTCTGAACTTTCATGCAACGTGTCAGCAAATTTTGGGAAGCGGTTAGAGCAGGCGTAGAACTGATCAACTCTGTAAGAAAGAATATAAATAAACGTGACCCAACATACTTGTCTCGAAATCATTTTTATCTGCGAAGGTTTTCAAGAATCGTGCTATAATCATCTTGAATTGATATCACTTCCTTCATTGCTGAGTTATTGTTACTCTCGGTTTTAACTTGTCGATTCAGAGTGTACAATTACCTGCACGCAGTTAAGTTTTGATCAAGTACGGCTACTCTCTGTACACCTCTTGGGGCAAGTAGCAAAGTATGAAATCCTACAGGCCACATACAATGCCGCTTGAAAATTGCGCCAAAATCTTCGAATGAATCCAGGTCGAAGTTTTCACTTTCGCTTATTGCAGGCGCAAAAGTTCCACCGAACCAATCAAAATCCGTTCAAACAAAAACCTAGTGACGTCACTTCCTGAGATCTTCCCGCGTTTCGGTGAAAATAATGATGGCGAGTTATCAACGAACCTCTCAAGAAAACGCTATAAGAAACATCAATATTTCCAATTGCCATATTGAAACCTTGGAGATGGAAACATTGTGAATAAATGCTGTCGGCGACTTAAGTATCCTAAGCAAGACACAGATTGTTGGTCAGGAAGAACCACGAGCTACGATGGTGAATGGCGAGGTACAAAGAGGAAGCAAAGTAAAATTAGATTCCCACAACGTAAACACAGAGCCAATCTCAAGTTTTCTTCGAAAGCTATTTCAAGCGAAAGCGAAGAAGACGCATCTTACGGACCAGAAATTTTCCCAACTGCCTCTGGGGAATACGATCGGGGCTTTGAGAACTCGATGAAGAAATTCCATTCTGTTTTGAACAATCTGCATCCTCTACGAGACAGTGGAAATTTCAAGGAGTTTATTAATCTCTTAGACCGTATCCTTTCAGCTAGCAAAGGCGATGCAGAGCTCGAACTCTTAATTCTTATCGAGAAAAGCGTTGTCGTGAGCTATCAAAACAACTTGGAGACGGCAGAAACGATGGTCCTAGAAGCTTTAGACACCTTGAAATCGAAAGCGAAAGTATAGATGCTCGACTTCCTGGTATCAATGGCAAATCTTCACCTAACCGGCTTTTACCGACGACAGAGCAAGCATGGAAAAGCAGAATCCACAATTAAAATTGCCGATCAGAACTCGCGAAAAGTAAACTCGCGCTTCTTGAGAGCCTTGATGTTCTATGAAAAGGCTAATAATTTGACCAAGTACATTTCTTCTGTACCTCTCGATCGGTTCGCACGCAGAAAGCTTGTCGAACAGTCGAAGGACTACATGAAGCAGTGCATAGCCCTATGCATAGAACTCGACGATGGCAGCATTTACATTAAAAAACACCACTTTGGGCTTCTTAAACTAGCTTTACTAGATCTAAATTGCCGCACAAGAGCAGCTCGAGAACAGCTGACAAGTAGTAAGTGCATCGCAGATGCAAAAACCTGCCTCGAGACAGTTGAAGAAAAGTATCGGAAAGAAATGAGCGAGGGACAGATGATACAATTCTTTGTGGCCAAGTCAGACCTAAATTACAGGCTTGGAGATCTACAGGCAGCACAAAGTTATGCAAGCCAAGCATTGTTCCTTGCTGAAACTCATGGATTCAGTTTAGAAATTACTGCCATTAAGGAGAGACAAGAAGATATGCAAAAACAAATCGCATCGAAGGAAACGATGGATTTTGAACCAGTATCCTACGAAGAAACCCGCCATGTCGATACACTGTCAGCCAGTACAGTATCGTCTCAGAACAACTCTCCTTGCTCCTCGGGATGTGAGATGGAGTAAATGTAAGATGCATGTCGTGTTTATGAAATACTTTTATTGTGTAAAGTGCATGCCACTTCTTTAAAATGTTCAAGGGACGGTTCATATGAGCCTAGCAAGTGAGCTGTTGCTGTATTTAGGATAAAATTTGTCCTCTTTATATTGTCCAATTACATTCAATTTTTTCGTGGGGAACAGTTTACCCGCAGTTTAGAGGGCAAAGTCTCCTTGAAACATGTCAGAATTACAGTTCCTTTTCAGTTTCTATTCAACTCGCTCAAAATAGTGATAATAACGGAAGTCTGCAGTAAGAATCTAACCATACGAGCCCTTGAAAATATATTCCAAAAAGCATGTGTAAATAGTGACTGAAACTGAACTAGCATTGTATTGATATTGTAAGGAGAAATTCTGTCTTGGTCACTCATGGAAGTCAAAGGGTTATCAAATTAGATTCAAGTGTTTCACTCTACCTAGAAGTATAAATAAGCTCTAACCCCAAGTCACTCCCATGTGTGACCAAGACATAATTTCTCTTTACAAAATCAGTACAATATCAAACAGCCAAGTGATGAGAATAGGAAAAAAACTATTAACTAGGGATTATCATTTCCATTGCACACCCAATTCTCAAAACAAACTTTGTAGGAAATGCATGACAAATAGCAAGGAGAATTTTCACTGAGATTTAGGAGTATAGTAGGGTTCACAAATTGTAAATTCAATGAAATTTGACAAATATTCAGAGATTTACTCTTTGACCCCTGAGAATGACTACAAGTAACTATTCTCTCCTTACAATATCACCCCTGAATAGTGGATATGATCAAATGCACATCACAACACTTTTCGTGGGGAATTTGGCCGGACTGCATCAGCAGTTTACAAACAATCAAAGGAAACTTATTTGAAGATGCCCCCTCCCCCAATTCCCAGTAAACAGGCCAGACCAC